CAAATTGGTTCACTTTAGATGAATTTTGTTTTCCAAAATTAATTTTCTGGTGCTCCGCGACTGGTAGGAAAACATATTCCACTGTTTGGTGACCTTCTTGGTTGGGCATGAGTGACTGGGGCAAAGAAAACTAGAGCAGGCTGTGACTATTCATGTGAAAAGTTTGAATTTGTTATAGAAACTGCAGCTGTCTGGCACGCAAAGCGGTCATTCCTTGGGGTAAGACTGAAATACCTTTGTGGGTGGGGGAATTGAATTTAAAATAATCAAAAATCCCGTACTACAATTTTCATGCTTTTTTCTTCTGATACCCTAACCCCCTCTCCCCTTCCCGAAATATAGGTCATTTGACCCCTGTGCAAGCTAAAAGCAGTGCACAAGGATTTTTACAAAGTAAAAGGGACCAGATTGTGCTTTGTAACATTTATGCACAGCTGCTTACAATATGTTTTCCCAACTTGATGTACTGGTTCCTTTCTGCTGTTCTTCTTGGTCTACCCACTCCTTATATGGATTTATAATGAAATTGAATACTTAGGTAGTTATTGAGCCATGTTTTTATCTGCATTATTTTGTTAATTATTAGGTTAACATTGTTCTTGGTCAATTGAAGAAAAAAGAGGCAGTTGTTACACAGTTTTGAAGAAGGCAGCGTTATTGTTGGAGTAGGCGGCTGATTTTGCCATCTTGCTTAAAGAATCAGGTGAATAGCAAGCAGAGAAGCCAGCAGAGATCATGAAGTCGAGAGTGACTTTTGCTGGTAGCTGGGTACTTCCGACAAGCCTAAGAAGGAACAATAATTTTCTCTTGGCTCGGATCTGAAAGAGACAGCCATTAGCTCCTAATTACATGAGGGGCTTATGATGAATAGACATGGGAGATGGGGAGAGAAGGGGATAGTTAAGGGTAAGTTAAATGTGACAAGGTCACTTTAGTTCATTTTCAGTTCTAATTTTCAAATTATTTTTTATTAGTGTTATGTTATTACTCTTCTCACTATCTGGGTTATTTTCCTACATTAGTTTGGTTTCCTTACACACCTCATTTTGGTATGTGTTGGTGATTCATTCCCACACACTTCTCTTAGCTAAATCCTGTTGTGTAGGAGAAGTTACCTCCTAGTTCCCTTAGGTAAATCCTGTATTCGTGGGCAAAAATACACTCCCTAGCCTTATTTGGTTTAGAGTTATTCCTACAGTTTCCTCAAATCTGTTATAAATTGGCAACCACTTGTTCAGCAAATTCAGTTGATTCAGTTGGTTTATTCTGAGCTATACTCAAGGTTTCAAGTCAAGCACTGGTTTAGTTCAAATGCTATATTCTCAATAACCTTTGTGTTACTCGTTCCCGTTTATTTTGTTCCTGTTGTCATTGTCTCCACTATCTTTGTCAATAAACTCGTAAATCGTACACTCATATCTGTCGTTGCTATGTCGACCGTTTTGGCCGTCTTACATAAACATCTCAAACACCCACAAAACATTTTGAAATAATGTAAGATAATCACTTAAGCCATGTCAAAACTTTTTGTGGACATCAAAAACGTTTTTAACTAATCTGTTACTGATTATAATTAATCAGGGACATATCACCAAGTGAAAGACGTTTTTTAATATCCACAGTGAGTATATTTTTTTAAAGCAAAAACAAATACATGTGTATTAATCCCACCCCCATTCACATTTTGTAGAACAAATGATTTTGATGCCAAAAACAACGTATGACTTCCTTTGACAGGAGTCTATTAATAGAACTCTCACAATTTTGAAAATGAGTTGATAAATGTGCAAAACAATATGCATATAATAATACAAGTAGTATAGTAAATGGGGGTTTCAGCCCACTTTGGGAATTTTCACGGGTCTCAGCGAGACTTTGGTTAATTTTCACGGGTCTCAGTAAGACTTTGGTTAATTTTCACATCTCTCAGCGAGAGTTCAAAATTTATAATGAATTTTCACCGCCCACAGCGAGACTTCGTTATATCAAACTATATGTTTTTCAAAATATTTGCATAATCCATAGACACATACCAGACCATTGCGCGTCATTTCTCGGAAAACCCGGATGTCATTCTCAGAAACGGGACTTTCCCTCGGAGTTCTTACTTTTTGTCTGACGCATCGGACATATAGTAAATGGAGGTTCTAACCCACTTTGGGAATTTTCAAGGGTCACAGCAAGAGGTTAAAAATAAAAAAATAAAGAAAAGAGTTTAAAAAATGACAGGTTTCATTATTATGAACGTAACGCTTATCATCGAAGCAAGACAATGAAACTTTATTAAGATCATAACTTCTTATCGTTTTCATTGTATGATACATTTGCTTACTATTGAACAGTGTGTTTCTATAATCTTCATGTTTAATATCATTTTTGATTACAGTCTTTTTGATACCTTTAGCTGTTTTATTGTTTTGATTATTATCTTTAATATATGAATACATCTTTGATCTTAGACCAATGAATTCTTTTATCACTAAACCAGCTGCTTCATCTTTGAATTTACCAATGACCTTCTTATTTGTTTTATCAAAATATGGACTACTTTCTGGATAATCACTGTTGTCAAACTTATCTATATTTTTCCAAAAATCTTTATACACATCTTCTGGTTCAATTTCATATGTCGAGCTATCAGGATCAGTAAATAACAGCTTAGCTTTTTCTCCATGGGTCTGCTAAATCTGCGAGCCAGCGAGCCATGCGAGCCATGCGAGTCATGCGAGCCATTTTTGTCTGGGAGGTCGTCGATCATTTCACCAAGAAACATCTAGCGCCCGACTATCACTAAATTAAACTACCGCTATAAACCGCCCGCTCGCCATCTTGAAAGCGGAGATGACCCTGGGGACGAGTATAAACGGTACAACCTCGCTCCGAGGATACTCTCTGTTTCCCTGGGAAATCAATTTTAAATTTATCTACAAAAGTGCCTAAAATTGAAATATTCCCAGAAAAAGACCTAATCTCGCTTCGGTTGCCAGAACTATTTTTAGTACGTCAAATATGAAACATGCTCTAAACATCTGTACATCGTGCCAAGTCTTGCGTCATAGTAATGGCTGCCCTGAGTTGGACGAATT